AGGAAAGATGCCTGAGCTGCAGTGAATATGATCCAGGTGAGAAGTGGGCAGGCACCTGATTTTTACCAGGAACTAAAAGGGCCTCTCTCTGGCCAGAGGGCAGCACAAGGTGCCAAGTAGGGAGAGGGAGGGGCCGTGGAGGGGTCTAAGAAGGGCTTCTGGGTAGGAGGAACTGGTAACTGCTGGCTGGGAGGCCAGGGAGGTGGTGCCCAGGGCCATGGCTGTGGATCTGGAGAAGAGGGGATTTGAGGGATGTTTAGGAGTAGAACTGATGGGGCTTGGTATGAGGGGTAGGGAAGGAAGAGCTGTCAGTTCCCTAGGGAGGGGACGTGGGAGTGGGACTGAGCTCTGAAATGTCCCCACAGGGCTGGCACTAGGATGAGGCAAGTCAAGTGCATGGGATGCAAAATTTGGGGTACTCACTCCCAGTCTTGTGTTTCCACCTGTGCCTTGTCCCTGGTCCTCTGAAACTTCTCACTAAAACATACTTTGGAAAGTGGAAGCCACTCCTGGAGATGAGAAAACAGGGGGATGGTCTGGGCAGTGTGTCCCCCTCCATCCTTCAACCCCTACCTGGGAGGTGCTGCCTTCTCTGCACCCTCCAGGACTGGGGTGAGGCTGGGATGGATACCTTAGGGTCTCACATGCTTTGGACAGGGACTCTGTTTCCATCCTGATGCCTGAATAACAGGTATCCCATCCAGCATCTCCTTGCATGCCTCTCATGACAGGTGCTCCCTGCCACCTGGATAGCCCAGTCTCTTGGCTCAGGCCATTGCACAGAATGTTTTACCCTGAGCCCAGATCTGCCTTGCACTGTGTTCTGTGTTCTGACACCTAACAGTGGCCTCAGCTATGCCCTCCTACCCTCTCCCACCCCTCAGGTGGGTCTGCTGATCCCCTTTCCCAAGCTTAACATTTCTGAGCTTCGGTGTCCTCACCTGTAAAAGGGGAAACAATAATAGCCACCATCTTCCAGGGCTGGTGTGAGGATTAAATGACATGATGTATAAACCTCATGACACATTCTAGTTCCTCAGTAACAGCTTCCTAACCCATAGTGATAATAAATAACTACAGAGGTGGACATTGTCCTCCTGCTGGCATGGGCCGCCAGTGGTGCAGCCTCAGCCCAGGCCCCAACACCCACCTGATGGCCTCAGGTAGCAGACTCTGCTACCGCCCCAGCACATCCAGCACAGATGCAGAGCTAATCCCAGAGGAAGATGTTCACGGGAAGAGGAAGTGACATTTTCTTGAGATGGCCGTGCCGTGTTGAGACGTGGGGTCGGGGCCCTGCTGTTTGGAATCGGTTCTCTGCTCAGTGTTCACTGCACTGCAGGAGAGCCCAAGACCCTCCCCTGTGGCCCTCTGCTCGTCAAGTCTCATTCAGGGGGACCAGTGGTGGCTGAGAAGGGGGGGTACAGACCCACCCTGACTGAGGTGTCTGCCTGGAGGTGCCTCTGGGGCACATCCCCAGACCCTGTCATGTCTGTGGGGCTGCCCTGGTGGTGGGTGTCTGTCCTGAGCCTAAGGGGCCTGCAGAGAGAGCCCTGAATCCCATGGAAGGTGGAAGACCCTACAGAAGCTCACACCAAACCCTCAAGGTTGTGCTGATCATTGTTGGGGTGCCCAGACTCCTCCCACGAGACTGGGGTGGTAAGCCTGGGGCAGGGGCTTGTAGGAACTCCTGGCTCCTCTCAAAGATCAGAGGAGCCAGCCCAGGAAGAAAGGACAAAAGTTGCTACAGCCTAGTCTCTAAAGCCATCCTGCTCCCCTTCTGTGCCATCCCATCCCCGGAGCCAGGTCCACATCCCAGGAGCACGCTCTGCTTCTGCTCGGGGGTTCCCTGTTGAACATCAGAACTTGTCTCTAGGGGATTCCTGTAGATTTAAGCAGTGGTCATGCTCTCCAACTCTTGGTGACCTGGGACTTCCAGATTCCTGTGTGAGGTGGGGAGTGTGCCACAGGGGAGGGACCACAGGTGCAAAGGCCTGGAGCAGGGTGGCAGGGTGGACACATGGGGATGCCAAGTCCTCTGGGCAGGCCGAGGTGGTGCTGGGAGTGGAGGATGTGTGATGTTTGTGGGGTGGGCATGGAGCCTGCTTTGTGCAGAGTGCACCTTGCTTCATTCTCACCCCAGCTGTGGGTGGGAGGGCTCTCCATTACTCTCAACACCCCTTGATTTTACAGACTGGGGCTCCAGGAGGAGAAAGGGCTTGCTCATGGTCACACAGCTGGTGGGGCCAGGGTGGCCACAGCCTGCTCCCAGCCCTGTCCAATCCTGGTGGCTAGGCTCCTCCCCATGGGGGTGTCAGGAGAAGGGACAACTGTGGCGCTTGATTTGTCATTTGGCGTGGGGGCCTAAAGGCTGGAGGTCCTGGATCCCCAGTAGGCCTGCCTCTTCCTCTTGCTCTCTGTGGCGTGATCCAGGCCAAGGCCCAGCTTGGCTCTGTACCTTGGTTTCCTCAGTTATACAGGGAAGTCATCAAATTGTTCAGCCATGGTGCATCAGTGGAGAGGGGTGGTCCATTTATAGATGGGAAAATGAGGCACAGGGAGGGGACAGGAGAGCCTGGGGCCCTGGTCACTCCCAGGCCCACAGACTCAGCCATGAGAGTGTGGTCAGTAGCCAAGGGAGGAAGCTGCAGGGGTTGATGGCCAGCAAACCCAGCTTTTCCAGTTTCCTTTAACGTGCCCTCCAGTCCCCTCTGCCTCGGGTTCACAACTCTACCCCAGCTGAGTGTGTCTGGAGGCAAGGCCCCTTTCTTTCCACCCCCGAATTATGGCTTGGTCACAAAAGCTGGACCATGACCAGACAAAGGGACAAGGATGAAAGTGCTGGTTGTCATGACAACCTGGTGGGTTGCTGGGACCCAGGGGAGGGGCTTGGCTGTGTGCCTGAGCCCAGGCATCTGGACAACCTCTGAGCATGAGCCAAGGTGGCCCAGGGGCTCACAGAGATGCCCCTCCTGCTCAGGGCCCACAAGAGCCGGGTGAACAATGACAACATCACCCCCCACGGTGGCACCTGCTCCCTGGGCCTCCCCTGGTGGCCCCATTATCCTGCACCTGCTGCCCCCCACCACACCTGCTCCCCAGCCCAGGCGTCCTCCCCAAGGCACTCCCTGCCCATCCCCAGGCCCAGCTGCCTGCTCTGAGGGCCACTCAAGAGGGCCTGTGCAACCGGGAGGGGTAGCAGGGACGGACGGCCCTGGTCAAGGGCAGGGGGTCCAGCTGACAAGCCAGCTCTGCCTTACCAGTAGCATGTGTGTCCATGACAAGACCTCCACTCCAGGACCTCAGTCTGCTTACCTATAAAATGGGAGCAACCATTCCTGCCCTCAGGGTCTCCAAGAGTAAGTTTCCTTCTGCTTGGAAGGAGATCTGAGGCCAGGATGTCCCCAGAGCTGGGTCAGGGTGGACAGTTGGAGAGAGAAGAGGGAAGGGGGTTGTCTTGGGTCACACTCTCAGGGCCACCTCTGTTAGACCACGTGGAGACCTGAAAGCCTCCTACACACTTAAGAGTCACTGTGTAGAGGTGGAGATGACATTTCCCAGAGGCCCATCATGGGTACAGGGGAACTGGGCAGGGGACCTATCAGTGCCAGGTTCTTTTTTTAAATATATTTATTTATTTACTTCTTTTGGGCTGCATTGGGTCTTTGTTGCTGTGCATGGGCTTTCTCTAGTTGTGGCAAATGGTGGCTACTCTTCCTTGTGGTGCGTGGGCTTCTCATTGTGGTGGCTTCTCTTGTTGCGGAGCACGGGCTCTAGGCGCGTGGGCTTCAGTAGTTGTGGCGCACGGGTTTAGTTGCTCTACGGCATGTGGGATCTTCCCAGACCAGGGCTCGAACCCGTGTCCCCTGCATTTGCAGGCGGATTCTTAACCACTGTGCCACCAGGGAAGTCCCTTGATCAGCTTTCCACGTCAACTTAGCTTTTGGAGTAGCTTTAATCGTCCATATGCAGTCAACTGCTTGGCTGGGTTTTGTTTTTTCCTCTTGTTCTACCTGAGTAGAACACACTATTCTGTCAGATCCTGACAGCTCAAACTGGCAATCTGGGATGGGATTTAAAATACCTCGGTAAGTAAAGTCTGGATCTGGAGTAAACGAATATTTTGCTCAAAATCCCAGTCCTTCAAGTTCTTCATCAGAACTAAACTTAATCCACGTGAATCTCCCTGTTGATCTAATTAATGGAGGGCTTTTCACACCACAGTAACAATCTATAAGTGGAGAGAAACCAAATGGCCCATCTTGAACTCCCAAGTGATCAAACCGACATTCAAATGATGGTTCTATATAATAATGTTTATCAAAGGTCAACTCTATTCTTTGACGTGGAGCAGCTTCCAAAATGTAGATGCATTCCTTGTTTGGTGGATATGAGTCAGGATAATTTGGTGAAGCAAAATGACCTCTGTTGCTGGTTCGAACCCAGATGCCACACTGGGTTGCAGGAATGTGCTTGATTCCAATATTTTGTCCATCTTGGGTCTTTTGGGCCCAGTGCCAGGTTCTTGAGTGGCTTGTTAGGAGTATCAGGGAAAGAGGACACTGGGGCAGGGACCCTCCATGAGGAAAGGATGGCCTGGGGGTCCCTGGTGATCCAACAGCCAGTTCAGGTGGGGACACTGAGATCCTAGGAACGATCTGTATCTGGCTCTCTGATACCACCTCCCCCGCAACCGGATGCTGGAATGGAGGAGGGACAAGGGGACAGGAGGAGTGGGAAGCTCCGGAGGATGCCCCTCCCCGTCCTGGAGAGGGAAGGAGATGCCTGTGGTCACTGGTCTTTGTGTTGTCTCCCCCTTCTAGTGTCTCCCTACACCCTGCAGGCCAGCCCCAGGTTCCCATCCTACTCTGCTGTGACCTTGGGTGAGGCCCTCTCCCCGCTTGCCACCTCAGTTTGCCGACCTGGAGTGTGGGAGCAGGTTGCCGAGGAGACTGCCAGCTCCAGCTGCCGCCCTGGGTTTTTGAACACCCCCAGGCCATCGCCACTAACTGTGGCCCCACCTCTCTGATAATGAGGAACTCCCTCTCTTGAACAAACTTATTTTTGCTGACCGGTCAGAGTTTCTTTTTCTTTCTTTTTTTTTTTTTAATTTTTTAAAACTGAAGTATAGTTGATTTATAGTATTGTGCCAATCTCTGCTGTACAGCAAAGTGACTCAGTTATATACATATAGACATTCTTTCTTTAAATATTCTTTTCCATTGTTTTATCACAGAATGTATATTTTTAAAAATATTTATTTATTTGGCTGCATTGGGTCTTAGTTGCAGCATGTGGGATCTTCATTGCGACATGCGGGCTTCTCTAGTTGCTATCACAGAATATTGAATATAGTTTCCTGTGCCATACAGTAGGACCTTGTTGTTTATCCATCCTATGTATAATAGTTTACATCTGCTTATCCCAAACTCCCTAGTCCTTCCCTCCCCATCTCCCCCTTGGCAACCACAAGTCTGTTCTCTATGTCTGTGAGTCTGTTTCTGTTTTGTAGATAGGTTCATTTGTGCCTTATTTTATTTTATTATAACACTAATTTATTTATTTACTTATTTATAGGCTATGTCAGGTCTTAGTTGCAGCGCGTGGGCTCTTTGTTGCGGTGCATAGGCTCTCTAGTTGTGGCACGTGGGCTTAGTTGCCCCGCAGCATGTGGCATCTTAGTTTCCCAACTAGGGATCAAACTGGCATCCCCTGAATTGCAAAACGGATTCTCAACCAGTGGACCACCAGGGAAGTCCCTGTGCCCTATTTCAGAGTTCACATATAAGTGATATCATATGGTATTTGTCTTTCTCTTTCTGACTTACTTCACTTAGTATGATAATCTCTAGTTCCATCCATGTTGCTGCAAATGGCATTATTTCATTTTTTATGGCTGAGTAGTATTCCATTGTGTATATGTACCACATCTTATCTATCCATTCATCTATTGATGGACATTTAGGTTGTTTCCATGTTTTGCCTATTGTGAATAGTGCTGCTATGACTGTTGGAATTTCTTACACACTTCCTCCCAGAGGTCTGGCAAAGGCAAAGCTCTTGCCAAGAATGGAGGTATTTGGGGTAGGGTAACAGTCCTGGTGTACCTCAGACCATTCTGTACAGGAGGCCCAGGTTCAGGGCTGGGCAAGATTTGTGTTCTCCAATACGCAGATGGAAAAACTAAGGCCTGGCAAGAAAAGAGACTTGCCCAGTGAGTCAGCTGCAGAACCCAGGCCTCCTGCCCTGTTCATAGACCTTTTTAGAGGTGGGGAAAAAGTCAGAATGGCAGTCTGGTCCCCAGACTCAGCAAACTCAGGCTCCCAGGAGGGGTGGGATGGGGGTACCTAGTGGGTCACAAGGCTGAGATGATGAGGCCACCCACCCTGCAAAGAGATCATTCCACCTATGCTCAATGAGCTGCTTGGGGCCAAGGGGAAATCAGAGGCGCTCAGAGCCTAATTACAATAAGCAGCTTTCTGCAGCTCCTCAGGCCCCACAGAAATGTCTTGTGCAAGATATCACTGTCTTGGGGCTTGTCATCTGGAGCTTTGGCCCAGGCATTTAGGGCCTGGTAGGAACTCCTCCTGGCTGCCACTCCCGGTGAGCAGACCTTAGCATCCTGGACCTTGTTCACTGGTGTGGTCTGGAATTGCAGGTCAGAGGGAGGAGGTAGGCTGGGGAAGAGGGTGTAAAGTGTGATCATGTGCAGCTGGGCAGATGTTGGTGGCCACCATCTTCAGGGTGATGGCCTGGTGTGATTGCTCTGTCTCCTCAGCATTTCCTATGGGTTCTTGCAGGAGTGATGGAGCTGGCAGGACTGTTGGGAAACGCAGCACCCCTGGTCCCTACCACACAAGCTCATCGTTCAGTTGGGGGGATACAGCAGTGACCATTGCATGATTGCCTGCTGAGTGGTACTGACTATGGTCCACTCAGGAGAATGTGAGCATATTCTGTGGATTGAGGCAATCAGGGAGGGCTTCCTGAGGAGGTGTAGCTTGAGATGAGATGGAAAGTGGTAGATAAACCAAAAGAGGGAGGAGATTCTGTCTGCGAAGCTCCACATGGATGTAGGTGGGAGTGGGATTGGACTGGGGGCTGAGCATTCATGGGTGACTGGTCCTCAATCCTCCAACCCCCCAGGAACTCCTTTCCACTCTTCCTCCCTGAGCTCTGGGCTTTCAAGGTATTGTCTGTCAAGCTGACTGTGTGGATGAAAGGAGAATTAATTTGTCTCCATTTTTATTCATCAGAGAAAATGCTGTCAGAGCTGCTGAGGCCAGCTGGCCAATGGCAGAGAAGGGGAGGATCAGGGGAGGCCTGGGGAGAAGGCGTGCCTCAGACCTTGCCTGGCTCTCTCTCTGATACCCTCCATGCCTGTGACTTGGTTTCTCTAGGCAGCAGCTCAGAGCTCCTGGCCTAGCAAACCAGAGAGAGATCCTGGGGTTCAAGAGGCCAACTGGGGGCAGGTGGAGAGCGGGTAGCTCCAGCCACCCTGTCTGAATGCCTGTCGCCCTCCGTTCTGGCTTGTCGGCCACGTGAAGGGCCCATTCTGCTGCCTGTTCACACAAGGCTTTCATCTCTGCAGCTAGTAAAGCATTCCTCCGGGCCTCAGTGCTGCCAGCAGGAAGGCACAGGGGAGAGGGGAGCCCAGGCCTGCCATGCCCCTCAGACCCCTGGTCCAAAGGCATGGGCCTGGGCCAGGGTGCCCTAAGCAGCCTGTCTGCCCAAGTCGTCCCCCACCCCACCCCCCACCCCGCCGCCAACTCTTTCAGGAAGCCAGTTTCTCCCCATTTCAACAAGAGCAAGACTGGCCTCCCAGCTCATATAGGGCAAAAGACTGCCCTCCCACCACAGGAGGGGTAGGAGCCCAGGGTGGGGTCATGGCTCAGCCCCCTTGTTCCTCTCCCAGGGAACAGGTAGGCATGGTGACTTCTAGGGCAGGGCAGGAAGATCAAAGCCTGAACCCATGCCCTGCCATTGCAGAAGGTGGCATTTGAAAGTAGACACTTGAGACTCAGGAGAGCGGGGACTGATCCACAGTCCCCTGCTGAGGAAGGAGGCAGTCACATCCACTGTCCACACCTGTAGAGGGGCAAGGTGGAGCTGGCAGGGCTGCTGGGGAAAGCAGCACCCGCTGGTCCCTGCCACTCAAGCCCACCTCCAGTTGAGGGATACAGCAGTAACCATTGCGTAGTAGAGGATGAGTGACTCTGTAAGCTAGATCTCCTGAGAGTGGACCCTTTCCACAGTGGCCTGTCCATCTGTCCAGAAGCCATGGTGCCTGTGATGTCACCAACCCACTGTGTTGCTTGGCAACTTTCCAGGATTAGTGCTCTGCCCCTGTCATCCCTGACGTCCCGCCATGGGCTGATGTTGCCTTGGCAACTGGATGGGTACTACAGCTGTTTGGACAGCTGTACCCAGTGTGGGAAGTGGCAGGCAAAAGAGGGGAAGCAGGTGCCTCTCCACAGGCTGATTGGGGTACACAGCCTATCTCCAGACCTATAGAGGAGCCAAGCTGCCCAAAACAGGGCTTTGGGGGGTCTCTGTCCCCTCGAAGAGCTGTGGCCATTCTTGCCTTCAATCCCCCTCATGCTCTTTCCTTCCTTCTGCTATGGTCACCAAGTACCTATTGTGTGAATGCCAACAAGAAAAGCAAAGTAAACTATGGTTCAGGCTCAGGAAAGGTTTTATCAGCATTGGGTCTTGAAGGATGAATAGGAGTTGGCCAGGAGTGGGAGTTGGTGGAGAGAGATGTTATGGACAGAGGAAGCAGAAGTCAGTGCAAAGGCTAAATCATTATCTCTAGTCACAGCTTATACCCTGCCTCTGGGTTCTTTGTGGCCTGGTCTCTCTGGCTCTCTCCCACTTAGTAGACATTTTATGGTAGGGACAGCATCCAGTTCAAATCTGGACACTTAGTCCCCAGCACAGGGCTGGCACCAAGTCAGCATTACTAAAATGTCAAATAAAATCGGGCATTTGCATAATGAGCATCAGGTCCTACCACCTCCCCCAACACTAACCTGTGTTACCAAGCCTCATTTTCCCCATCTATGAAATGAGGCCAATTTTGAGAAGGCTCTGAGCAGGGATTCTCAGGTTAAGGTGGATTTTTACATTTTCTTTGGTTTGTAACCCCCCTCTTTTTCTTATAGAAAAATGGAAAGACTGGTGGGTAGAGTGGGCATCTGTATACCTTCAGATCCCCTAATTATCAGTATTGGACCACTTTTGCTTTATCTCCTCTCTATATATAGTTATCTATGTATAAATTTTGCTGAACCATGTGAAAGGAAGTCCCAGCAGCAGACATCCTGACATTGGTCCTTAAATTCCTTAGTGCACATCAGCTAAAACAAGGACAGTCTTCTGTATAACCACAGTAACATTATCACATCTGAGAAAATTAACAGTAATATCTAGGGCAGGAAGGAAGATCTAAGCCTGAACTCATGCCAGGCCTTGGAGCAGATGGGCACCTGGCGGGGGCGGGGGAGGTTCATCCACTGCCCACCCGGCGGAGGGCTGAGGTGGAGTTGCAGCCCGGCTACGTATGTATGTGTGTGTGTTTAAGCTGAGCCTCCGGGGGAACAGAAACGACCCTTTCCGGTAAATTTCCCCAAGTTTTCTTCCCACGTTGTTTACATAGCTTTGTTTTTTTAAAAACAGGATTAAATCAGAGTTGTCGCAGTTTGAAAACAGCATTTGGCTGCTTTGTCTCTTTCTCTAGAAAACTCTGGGAGGGGAGATGGATAATGGAGCCTGGATTTGAAAGCCTAGACGGCTGACACTTTCCTGCTGGCCCCCAACCCGCCGCTCGGAGGCGGCCCAGCCCTGGGTTGGGGAAGCCGCGTGAGTGAGTAGGGGCGGGAGGAGCCAAGTCAGGAGTGTGTAGGGAGGCTAGTGCAGACCTGCGGAGGTTCACTGGCGGAAGCTCCCGCCAGCCTTGCCGGATGGTCCCGCCCCTTAGCAACGGTCCCAGCGTCCCTCC